TCCGATAAATCTAACTGTTTATCCATCCATATTAACAGAAATGTCAATTATTTAAGTTTTCATGTCAAATTGAAGATTAGGAAATGTGGCCTATTATTATTATTTTGTTCTGCAACAGTCAATTCCAGTAGTGTTTTCTAGAAGTCTCCATGAAAAGAATAAAGCACTTCTGAAAAGCTGTCAGTGATATTGGCCTGTTAAAGTTCGTAAGCATGGGGATGGATTGCTTTACTTCGAAGGTGGTGGTTGGAAAGAATTTGTGGAGCATCATGGGTTGGAACTTGGAGAATTTTTGGTCTTGAAGCACCAGGGGATTAAACTTTTGCTGGTTTTGTTGATGTTTTCTGATTTTGAACAATGTGACCAAGCGTGTGTTTTCATCATTGATGTTTATATTTTATTTTATTTTCAGACAATGTTATTAAACTTTTGCTGGGATTCTTCTTCTGTTGCTAGTACTAGCTAGTGAATGAATTTATGAATTCAGCCCTTGATGGTGGAAATATGCTCATTTTGAAATTTCTAATATCCAGTTCTGTTTGAGTTATATGAAGGCTTTACCTTGTTTTGATAGAATTATTGTTGACAGTTCATTTCTTTCCTTACTTAAAATTTTCATCTGAAAACAGAGCAGTTCTTGTGAAAGCTTGATTGTAGGTTACTGATGGATGATCTGAGTCGGGTTGTTAGGCCCAAACCCGTACCCGTTTAGGACTGTGTTCTTTGGGCCTTATGCCTCTAGGGCCACTACTGTACCAAAAAAAAAGACAAAAAGGGGGGAAACTGTAGATTGTAAGCCGTACAGAAAAACGACGACGTTGCGTCAGTATCTAGCAATCATCCAACGGCAACGGCTGCATTAAACTCTTCCCGCCTTTTTATTTTCCTTTTCCCTCTTCTCCCCAATTCAGAGGCTCTCAAAACTCAAAACCTAAATTCACTGATTTTACTCAATTCTCTCTCTCTGAAATTCCATATTAATTTTTCAACGTCTCCGGCGTCACCCAAGATGCTGAAGACGACGACGTTTAAGGGAGCCAATGTCTTCATGTCGCGGAACCTGGTCCCGCCCGAGATCTTCGACGCGCTTCACGACGCTCTCAAGCTCAATGGAGCCAATGTCTTCCTCTGTTGCGACCCCTCGCGAACCGGGCCGGACGACTACCACGTCATCGCTTCCTCCGATCACGTCTCGTCTCAACTCCCGCCACCTGAAAATTTTGTTTTATATTTCGCTTCGTTTTTCATTTCTAGGTTCTGATTTTTTATATATTTGTTTTCAGGAAAAGTTTGAGGATCTTAGAGCCAAGGGCTGTAATTTGCTAGGTATGTTTCTCCCGAATTTTGCTGATTTTCTTGAGTTTGTTGTGCTTCGGAAATTCTGTGTTTGCTTTTCAGTTCTGTTAAACAGGAACTAGGGTTCCATAATTTTTTTGTTGTTTGTAGTAAAGTGGCAAATTTGCTTGATAACATAATGATTATGAGTAATTAAAAGAATGATTAAAAGCGATATAGAGGGCAAATATCATGAAATGTTTCCATGTTTTTTTCCTAATGAACCAAAGGCTCCATTCCGTCCACAGTTGCTTGTAGTACAATTTTGTAGTTTAGCAGCCTATAGTTGGTATTGGCCTGCCCAAGTGAACAATTAAGTCGAAGCTCAATAGGGTATCAGTTAAATCATGAACCATTTGAACTTACTCACTTAAGAAGTTATGATGTTGATGGTATGAATGGTCGACCACTGGAATGTTTAATTCAATTTCTTCCTTGTGAAGTGTTGCTCACTTGGATACGTGTTTCTGATGTTGGGCAGGCCCTCAATGCGTGTTTTCTTGTGCAAACCAGCACAGGGCTCTGCCTAAACAAGGGTTTACTTGTTGCCTTGCAATGGATGGTTTCAAAGTACTTGCCTCTGGTTTTGAGGGAGACGAAAAGGTATTGTACCTCCATCGTTGATAGTCTGGCTTTGATAAACTCTAACTGTATGTTATGTATCTAGATTACTTATTTAAAAATTTCTTGATTGAGGTACATCAGCAATTGTAGTTTCCAAGTCCAACAGCAAAATCATCTGTGTTTGCTAGTTCCATTTGATAAAGTTTGTTATCCATCTTACCTTTCTGAATTGTCTTCTGTTGTTACTATTTTAAAATATGCATTCTTATGTTCTATATTGTTCATCTTCAGTCCTATCTATTTTGTGCTCAGCATGAACAATTTTACTAGAAAATCTTCTGGTTACTTGTAGTGACTGACCTTTCTCTCGTTCCCTCTCTCATTATTGATATTTTAATGCTTATTATTGTGTTGCAGGTTAAGATAGAGAAGTTAGTAACAGCAATGGGGGGAGTTTTGCATGCTAAAGCATCTTTGGATGTTAACTTTGTTATTGTGAAAAATGTCTTGGCTGGAAAATACAAGGCTAGTTACTTTAATTTCTCTCTCTCTTTTCAAAATTCAATGCCTTATGATTTATTTCTATGTCCGTCATGTTGGAATTTGATATTTTGGTACATTTTAGCTAATAAAAAAACTTTAAAACTCATTTACCAAGTCGCACTGTACAATGTTATATAATTTGACTCTTGTTGTAACTGAATCACTTCTAACTGGAACTCAATGATGATGAGTTCTCTTGCAATCACTTTAGAGTTAGCATTTCTTATGAAAATGAGGAATTTGCATATTTGTGTGATGATCACTCAGACTATACCTGGGAAGGTAATTTTTGGAAAGGTTGGTTATGGCAGATTTCTTATGTTTTTGAGATATAGTTACTGAATTAGTTCTTTTTATGCAGTGGGCCTTGAATACATTAAAGAAGCCGATTGTCACTATTAATTGGTTATCTCAGTGCTGGAATGAGCATCGTAATGTTCCTCAAGACTCCTTTAGGGTTCTTCCTTTTTCTGGTTTGATGATCTCTGTAACCAGAATTCCAGCAGGTTCTGAAGTTAGCTATCTATTGGTCCTGTGTAAGAAGGTTTTATTTTATTTATCTTAAATACGCGGCTAAATGTGCTTGTCTCTTTCAGATGAGCGAAAGGAGATTGAAAAGCTTATCACAGAAAATGGTGGAAAGTATTCTGCTGAACTTACAAAGAAGTGCACGCATTTAATTTCTGATATATCCTTTTATGATTCTTAAGATAAGCAAGGAATTGGAATCATATGTGTACTTTTCTATGTCAGACCTGATAACACAAGCAGACTTCAACTAAATGAAGCAAACCATGAAATATTTATGTTTTGTGTGTGGTATAAGATCATATATTCACTCTCCTATAAATCTAGACTTTTGCTCATCATAGCTGCAATCTTTCCTGAATGATCACACCAACCCTTACTTTGACTTCTAAGAGTGTACAGAGACCTTTTCTCATTTCTGTGTTTTTCCTATTTATTTGTGTGGTTTCTGTAAAATGAAGTTTTTGAGCAACATCATCCACGCATTCCTAAAGTTTGCCTTCTAAATTAATTTACCTTATGAATAAGCCTATTATAAAGATTTTTTTGGCATACTTCTTTAACTGTGTAAGTTCAAAAGTGTTGAATATAACAAATCTTGATGCATTGCTGCTTCTGCTTTCACTCCCATGATGTGGAAAATACGGTTGCATGAACAGTTTTTTTTGGCTGTTCCTTTTTGATGTTTTGGTTCTGGTCAGTGGTCAGTTTTATATGTGTGTGCCCTTATTATTGCAATCCATTGATGAATATCTTTCCTTTTAAGCCTGCATCAGTTTGAATTTCAAGATTGATGTGTTATTGAAGGTCTATATGCATTGGTATTCTTGACTGTTTCTAAGTTCCAGAAGGTGACAAATACAAGGTTGCACAAAGATGGGGCCACATTCGTATTGTAACTCGGAAATGGTTTGATCAATCTATTTCTAGAAGAGGTAAGGCTTTGCTATAGCTTATGGTCATCTTTGAATTTGTAGAATTTCACTTTATATTTTCTTCCTTCTCTTGTCAAGGATTTTCTGCTATATGTCTGACCTTGGAATCATCTCTCTCACTGTCTCCCCCCCTTTTTTTTTTGGATGAATAGCTTGTCTTAATGAGGACTCCTATCCTGTTCAAGGTGGTTCTATATCTTCAAATAAAAGTGTAAGGGGTTGCTTTACTTTGCAGAATAGCCAAAGGAGCAGTAGTGGGAACTTGCAATCTGTGCCACCATCAGTGGTTGCAGATTCGAATTTGACAGCTGCTCCTTGTTCTGGGACCATGGATTCTGATTTAGAAGCTACTGTCTCACAAAACATGACCACTATGTTTTCTCATGCTCCTCATGTTGTGAAAAATGAGGATAGTAAAGCACTTCCCTTGGAGTCCAAAAGTGAAGCTTACCTTGATGGTTGCGTTGCTGATGATTCTCAGTCTGAAGACAATGACCTGTACTTGTCAGAATGTAGAATATCTCTTGTTGGCTTTAAGGCTTTTGAAATGCGTAGGTTGGTTAATATGATTCGCAGAGGTGGGGGTTCCCGATTCATGTCATTCAATGATAAATTGACACACATAGTAGTTGGGACTCCTTCAGAAATGTAAGTCCTTTTTTGGGGGTGGTAAAGACATAATTATTGCTTTGTTGTTTTGATCTCTGACATGCTTTTATAATTTCCCAGCCAAAAGAAAGAAGTGAGGGGTTTTGCTGCTTTAGGCGTAATTCATGTTGTTAGAACTAGCTGGCTTGAAGACTGTGATCGTGAGAAAAAGGAGACCCCTGTTCTCCCAAAGCACATTGCCTATGATCTAGTTCTGCCTGAAGGTTCTTAATTAGTTGTATTTGTTCAAGCTGAGCGTATATAAACTCTGTGCCATTGTATTGGAATTGTAGCTTTTAGCTGTCATCGTATCTTTTCAGATATGTAAGTTGTTTCTGTTTATCTTCTTCCCAAGCAGACATTCTAATTGACTTTGATCCCTTCTTTTTCACCAGGAGCACTGATAGGTATGACTAGCATGATTCAAGGTACAATCTCGACTACTTTTTTCAGCATACCTTCTGATCAGTTACATGGGAATACGAGTGCTGCAACTGGAATGGGATCGTTGGAGAAAAAGAGAGAAAAGAAACCAGAAATTAACATGAAAGGTGACAAATCCATGGAAGCAGCTGTTGGACCATCCAAATGGAGTAAACTACCTGTCATAAATGGCAAAAGTAAGGTTCAGTTAAACAATACAATTGACGGTCGACTGACGATGCAATATGATTCAAGTGTTCAAAATGGCAAGGAATCATCTGTCTTTAAGGGGAGATTATTTTGCTTTTCAAATTCCTTTCCTGAAGATAGGGTAATTTCTTTAAATGCAGACTTTACTAGCACAATCATCATTATTTCCAATTATGTTTTTTTTGGTGTGTGTGTGTGTAATATTTGGATTTCAACTGCCAGAGAGGTGATATCATTCAATGGGTAAATCAAGGAGGAGGAGATGTAATAGATGGTCATTTAAAACAGAAAGTGCACTTCACTATTGAGTGTCATGGTGTGATAACTAGTTCTGTGGATGTTGCTCAAACTACATACGTATCAAGTCACTGGATCCGGTCTTGTTTGGAGGTATATTGTGTAATTCATAAATGCATTTTCTCGTTCAGTGTCGACTACTTTTTTCTTTATGGTTGCAGGATCATATGTTGGGAAATTGTATGAAACACTATTCTTCCACATGCAGTGAGATGACTGGAAATTGAGTACATATATGCACACATCATAAAAACAAAAATTATATGCATACATGGTTGATTGATTTTGGACCCATCTTTGGTCTTCCTTGCTTTACTCCACTTTCTGTACCATTTTATATCAGTATGCCATCATTTGATTATTTCTTGACTTAGTGAAATAAAATATGTACTCTGCTCCTTGCAAATGCTGATGAGATTAAAACAATTTTGAAGGACGGGTGCTTGCTGGATGTTAGTAGTCACATTCTATATGCTCCACTTCCCTGCCGGATTCCTTTGCCTGGATTTGAAAACTTTCGGTTTTGTGTTTCGCAATATGAAGAGAAAGACAGACTGTTACTAAGAAATTTGTGTTTTGTACTTGGAGCTAAATTTGGGGAAAAGCTGACAAAGAAGGTTACCCATTTACTATGCAAGTTTACCAATGGACCAAAGTATCAGGCTGCTTGTATAAAGGGGATACACCCAATTACAGCTGAGTGGGTATATGAGTGTGTGAAGAAGGTATGTCTTTGATATTGTCTTGAGTAAATGAGTATGAACACATGTGCATGTGGGAATTTATTTGGACCATTTACTGTTAAGATATCAAATTGTTGCCTTAACTCTTCAATGTCTGGCAGAATAAAGTCGTTGCTCTTGACCAATTTTATCCAAAAAGAGTCACTGCTGAAGATCAAGAGGCAGGGCTGTGTACTATGAGTCAGTATCCTACACAAGCCGTTCAAATGATATCTGCAGGCAATTCATCTGAGTGTCCAAGTCAATCACAAGACCTGAGAACCTCATCAGGAGAAAACATTGGCAGTAGAAATGACAGCCTCAGGGAAGAGGCCAGCGAACCAAGTTTTTGCAATAAGAAGGCAAGGGTTTCAGAAGATGATGGCGAAAAGGTTTTACTTTCGTCTGGGGTACAGTTACGTATTCCTGCCTGTACCACTGGAGACAGAAAAGTAAAAAGTTCTGGTGAAGTTTCTCAAGTGGTTCCTGATGTAGCTTCTGCTATTGAGGACTTGTTGGAGCAGACAAGTAAGGTAAAAATGTCGCAGATCTTTAATTTTCATGTTGCCTTTCAAGTTTACCGGTTTTTTCATTTATATCTGTTTTTCCTTTTTAGATTCACGATCAGAAGTCACCAGGGAGGAGTTTGTGTGATAGCAGTGTATCCTTTTACCCTCAGACACTATAAGTTCTATTTTATACTACCAACCTTTTGCATTAGTTACATTCCTTGATGGCTGAACAGATTTTTTCACCGGATTGTTCGGCTCTTCGTCAAGACCACTCTGATTCTCACTCCGTCATTGGATTATCGAGACACTGGTTAAACAGGTGACATATGTTTGATTGTTAAATACAGGAACCAAGGGAAAGTTCTATTTCCATTCCTGCCTTATTAATTATGAGCTTTCCATTTGCCCCTCCCTCTCCCTCTGGGCTACTAGGGCTCATATAAAGCTTTGAGCATATAAATGATTTATAGAGATTCCTTTTGACCAGCGTTTATGACACCAGCCACTCAATGTTGTGGGAAATTCATACAAAAAATTGCATCATAAAATACTAGTTAACCTTTTAGTAATTTGCAACTGGGGTTCTGTAATAAAGAATTTGTTGCTGGTCCTGGGGAGGGGGTTTATGATACAGGCTTGGTTACGTGCTTAGTGACATTTTCCTGCTTCAAAAGATGATAATTCTGCATTTTTTCTGCTCTTCTTGGACTCAGATATTGAACTTATTTTCCTTTTAGGGCTGGGAAAAAGGATGACATCCACGATCCTTCTGGAGAACAAAAGGCTGGCTTGTATGATGGCTTTAGTGAAACACAGACCGAGTCTCAGGTTTCAGCTCTTACTCAACTGCATTTGTTGGTTCTTCTCTGTCTAAATATGAATGCTTATCTGATGCTCACTAAGTCATCAATATTCTACATAGTGTTATTACTGTACTAAATGAGGAATAGAATTTTGTCAACTTTAGTGAAGCTGTACACTTTTAACACATTCTGAAAGCATCCGTACCTCAACCCCATTCCTTCCCATTTTTCATCCTCATGATAGTGCTCAAACTACAAAATGCAGGTTGTAGGCTACGAGGAAGATTTGTCAGGCCGGCAAATGCTTATAGACAGAGTACGAACACGTAGTAGCCTGGCTTGAAGTACTTGTGCAGTCCCCTCCTCAAGCAAGGGTGAAGGCTTCTTGGTAAATCTCATTTTCGAGACATTTTTTTCATTCTACAGCGTCAGCAACAGACCAATTGCTTGTTTGAGAGTTTATAATTAAACCCTGTCTGCTACTTTGAGCAAATGCGAGAGTAGCAATTCTTGGCGGGCAGTGGTGCAAGTTTTCAAGATGATGCTTTGACAGCAAGCTGTATCTATTGTGCATGCCTGCCTGGATGTGTAACATGCAAGTTGTATATACTGTCTATACAGATAGTTATTGTTAAGCAGCACCTCATGATAAAAATATGGGGAAAAGAGTGCCCTTCTTTGTGGGGTCTATTACATATTGTGGCTCAATGATCCTAACCGTCCATTTTTCATTCAAAAATCACCCTGAACAAAAAATAGACAATTTGAAAACCGTTTTAATATTAAAACCCACAAGGTGTTTCAAAAAAACATCAAAATGACAATCATTTCATTGAGTGGTTTTTGCATAGAAGATATTTGAGAGAATACTTAAAAAAATAAGACCGGCGGACTTTGATTGTCCAATGTCATATGCAACCTTAAGCGATGTGAGTATATATAAAAAAATGTTGTGTATAGCTGATATCATATAATATTCAAATTAAAAAGCGGATGATTATTATGTGGGCACGATTGCGTTCCCTTGAAAAATTCATCCCATCCCATCCCAAGAAGGCTCCAAAAGAAAGCACATCCAAAAACGCAACCAATCCCCACCAAACTGCCCCAAAAGATAAAAAAAGAGAGGATAATTTCTCAATATAGTGATTAATAAGTTCACCAAAATAAATAAATTCCTCAATAAGTGAAAAAAGAAAAGAAAAATCAAGAACACATACCACCCGCCATTTTGCGGCCATACATATTGTTGTCCAAAACAGATTCTATTTTCTCGTCATCCAAACAACTTATACAAACCCAAAAAAAAAAAAGAGAGAGGGGGGAAGAGAGGGCAGTGAAAAATTCATATGGTGGCATGTTGCCTCAGGTGCCAGCTGGCCATCGTCGTCGACATGAATCGGTGTGCTTCGTCACCTTCGCATCTCTGCGCCTTTAAGCCTTGCCAGTTCTCGGGCACCAGCGCCAGCCTCTTCGGATTCGGGTTCGGGTTCGAGTTCCAGAGGAAGGAGCGATTCAAAAGGCGGCTTAAGTTCGTTCTCAGTGCGGAGCTTTCGAGGCCATTCTCTCTCAGCTTCGGTTTGGACTCTCAGGTCACACCTACTTACTCTAGTCTTTATTCTCGCTCTCTTTTATTTTTTCTTCAGTCATTTGAAATGGTGGTGTTTGTTGAATCACTGATTTGGTGACGGAGAGACTTGATGATCATCATCTTTTCTTTGTAGTGTGTTTTGTGAGCTGACCAAAGTTTGGCTGATTATTATGGTCACATTATTTTCTATTGGTTTGATAATTTATTGATAGAATTATGTTAGATTTCGTGTATAGAATCAATATTCTTTTTTTTCGAAGTTTGGATGGGATGCGAGAAACCCTTTTGTTTGCACACTTTCTCTGGATGCTCTGCTGGGCCATTTGTTTTGATCATCAGTGCTTGCGCATCTATTAGCAATTTTTGGTGCTATGTGCTAGCTGAAATCTGTCAAAATTGGGGTTTGGAATTTGCAGTCTACATAAACCAAATTTATTGTATCATTCTTAGTTCATTGGCAAGAAATATTTGTTGTCATTTGAGAAAAGTCATTTTCTTCCCTTTCAGTTTTAGCTTTCCCCTAGTTTATGTAGACAGAAGAGAGCATGCATGTCTGTTGGTGAACATTATTTTTCTGATGACAGTGACTTTTGGTGAACCTTATGTGCTGCATAAATAACCTTCTTTTAATGGTATTGTGCATATAAATAAGCATGTGATTATTTTAGATTTTTTCTATTCAAAACCCACACTTCTCTTTGTTCACCCCATATTCTAAGTTCACCCCAACTTCTAATTCAAATTTTCACAATTTCTAAGAGAACCCCACTATCTTCCCAAACTACCCCTAAATACACACCCAACAGAAGGAAAAAAATTAAAAAACTCATCAACTCACACCCCACACCCCACACCCCGCTATCTTGCCCCTCACCACTCTAAGTTCACCTCAATCTCACATTACTTAAAGAGATAAAAACACTGTTTTCAAACTCAATTGACGACCTATAAGCCACTATTTGCATACCGTATTTAGGGTTTGTGAAGAAAAGATGAGAGTGTAGTAGGTTTCTTGGATTGAAAGAAAAGAGTAATTTGGCAATAAGTTGTAGAGGAGTTTATGTTTTTGTGTTTTTCTAAAACTTAATATGAAGAGTGGTGGGGTTTGTGTATAGATGTATTAGGATTAAGTATTAAGTTGGATGACTTTTTTGTCTTTTTACATAATAATAAAACTTAAAAGCTTAATGATTAAGTATTAGGGTGAACAAAGAATAGTGTGGGGTTTAAATAGAAAAACTCTTATTTTACTGGAAATTCAATAAATTGGCGACCCTTAGGAGTTGTATATAGTATACTGACACTGCTACTGAACTTGAAGACCTTTCAGCCTCATGATTCAACACAATTACCTAGGCTTGGCCCTATTCCCGGAGATATTGCAGAAATTGAGGCTTACTGTCGAATTTTTAGAAGTGCTGAACGGCTTCATACTGCATTAATGGACACATTATGCAATCCGGTAACGGGTGAATGTAGTGTTTATTATGATTTCCCATCTGAGGAAAAACCGCTGTTGGAGGATAAAATTGTCTCTGTGATTGGTTGCATGATATCCCTGTTGAACAAAGGAAGGGAGGATGTGATTTCTGGAAGATCCTCCATTATGAATTCCTATCGCCTTGCAGATGTGAGTGTAATGGAGGATATGCTTCCTCCACTTGCCATTTTCAGAAGTGAGATGAAAAGGTGTTGTGAGAGCTTGCATGTTGCTCTTGAGAACTGGTTGATACCTGGTGATGATCGAAGCTTGGATGTATGGAGGAAACTTCAGAGACTGAAGAATGTCTGTTATGATTCTGGTTTTCCCCGCGGGGAGGATTATCCATGCCATACTCTTTTTGCGAATTGGAGTCCTGTTTGCATATCCTCTTCTAAGGAGGACAGTAGGTCAGTAGATTCAGAAGTAGCTTTTTGGAGGGGTGGCCAGATAACAGAAGAAGGTCTCAAGTGGCTACTGGAGAAAGGATATAAAACTATTGTTGATCTTAGGGCAGAGACTGTTAAAGACAATGCTTATCAGTCAGCCATGGATGATGCTATTGCATCTGGGAAAGTTGAAATGGTCAAAATTCCAGTTGAAGTTGGGACGGCACCTTCAATGGAGCAGGTTAAGAACTTTGCATGTTTGGTCTCAGATTGCAGCAAAAGGCCTATCTATCTTCATAGTAAGGAAGGAGCACTCAGAACTTCTGCCATGGTCTCCAGATGGAGGCAGTACTCAACTCGCTATGGTTTGCCGTTTGTCTCCAAGCAGTTGACCGCTCTCAATGATGTGGTACTACAAGATACAAATGGGGCAGGGAAAGTGCTTGAGCTTTCCACTTCTGAGAAAAGTTTTCAACTGGAAAAGAATGAGTCACTGCAAGAGGGACTGGACACAATTAATGGTTCAAATGGGGTATTGCCCAAAGAAGTTTCTCCGGATAGGGACGAAACAAATCAGAGCTTAAATGGGACATATAATGACCTTATGTCTGTCCAAGATATGTCATCAGTAGAACCGGATCAAAATGGGGAAGGACCTAGGGTGAATTTTTGCAGGGAAGTTGACCCCCTGAATGCTCAGGTTCCCCCTTGTAATGTATTTTCAAGAAAAGAAATCTCCTGGTTTCTTGGGGGAAAAAAAATCTCACCTAACTCTTATTTTAATTATCAGTTGAAAAGGTTGGAGACATTACCAATTTCCAGAGTTATGATTATTAAGACAATGCGGAGAGGTGGGATTCTTGGTACTGATTCAGCACCAGAGCTTGTGGAGGTAGGAAATTCACATGGGCCACCTTATAGAAAAGATCTATCTCCAGAGGTCCAGACCTCTACTTCTGGCAATGGGACGCATTTTACTGGTGTTAGTTCTGGTTCCGTTCTTCCAGTTGTGAATGGATTTGGTGAAAGGGATCAAACAACAGCTAATGTATCTACTACTCTGAGCAGTAATTACGATGAGAGTGTCTTACCTAAAGAAGTAAAGGTGGATAAGAAGAGTAATGGTAGAGCCAATTTAGTTTCAGGTGATGATGACCTGGGGTCAATTGAAGGAAATATGTGTGCTTCTGCAACTGGTGTTGTAAGGGTGCAGTCAAGAAAGAAAGCAGAGATGTTTTTAGTTCGAACGGATGGATACTCTTGTAGCCGAGAGAAGGTGACAGAATCCTCCTTGGCCTTCACTCATCCAAGTACCCAGCAACAAATGCTAATGTGGAAATCCACACCAAAGACTGTATTAGTGTTGAAGAAGCTGGGGCAAGAACTCATGGAACAAGCTAAAGAGGTACTTAAGCATCTAGTATTTGTTTTGAAATACTATGAATTATATTATTAACTGATTATATGATTTGATAACAGAATTGGTGTCAGTAACAGAGTTTCTAACTTCTGTTATTTAGTTGGAAATCTTGTCTGTCTTTTCTTGTTTCTCTTTTTTCTTTTCTTGATAAAGTTTTGTTTCTTTAAAAGAATAAATGAGTTTGTATCAAAGAGTAATGAGTATGGATAGATATAAGAAAGAGTGTTAGCTGGAAAGATACAAAATTTTCACAGCTAGTCCCACAATGAGAATCTTGAACAACTTAGGAAATGGGGTTAGTTCACTCATTATTAGAGGTTGCTTATGCTATGCTAATACATGAACTTGTGTAAACAAAAGGCTCAGTACGGGGAATAGGTATTTTCAAGCAATTTTGTATTCAATAACATATATGTAGAGGGATCCCCATTTTTTCTTTTTTGCAAAAAATGGGGATGACCCTCACTGGGGATCATTAAAGAATAGACGGTTCAAATCATTAAACTATAATGAGGAATGAGCCCCACAAGGGACTCCCATTTTTGCAAAAATTGGGGATCCCCTTGACGGAAGGGCCTCATATATATATATATATATTGGAAGATATCTTAATAATGTCAGGAATTACTGTAAATCTCTGACTATTTTGTTTGGGAGTTTGTTTGGTGGAAAAATTATAGCTTTTGCTGTGTCTATGTGTAGGTTGTCTCGTTTATGTATTACCAAGAGAAAATGAATGTTCTGGTGGAACCAGAAGTGCATGACATATTTGCTAGAATCCCAGGGTTTGGATTTGTTCAGACCTTCTATAGTCAAGATACCAGGTACCGAAGTTGTATCTCAAGTTTGGCAACATATTTTATATTTCACGACCTTATTGGAAATTTGCTTACTTGTGCCTTCAGTGATCTGCATGAGAGGGTTGATTTTGTGGCATGCCTGGGAGGAGATGGGGTTATACTCCATGCTTCAAATCTATTTAAAGGTGCTGTTCCCCCAATTGTATCATTTAACCTTGGATCTCTTGGATTTTTGACTTCCCATACAGTAAGTTCTTTGATTTTGTCTTTTGTAGTTGATTTATGTTCTCTCACAGATTTCCATTTCTCTAACCCATCTTATACTTTTGAATTCAGTTCGAAGACTATATGCAGGACTTAAGGCAGGTGATCCATGGGAATAACACAAGTGATGGTGTTTATATAACTCTTAGAATGCGGCTCAGGTGTGAAATTTTTCGAAATGGTAGAGCAATGCCTGGGAAAGTATTTGATGTCTTGAATGAAATAGTTGTTGATCGAGGGTCTAATCCATACCTTTCTAAGATTGAATGTTATGAACAAGATCGGCTTATAACGAAGGTGAGGCTGTTAGTTATTGCATATCTTATAAAATAATTATTTTAATAGGCTCTAGTAATGTCCTAAACTTTACCCAAGCAAATGAGTTAGACTTTGCTTTCTTACCATGTGGATTACATCTGACGTGACTATACTTATATGTAACACAGAGAGAGTTCCAATAACTTATATGATGTCATCATGCTGTCTATTGACAAATACCATATCTTTTAGGTCCAAGGTGATGGGGTCATCATAGCCACACCTACAGGAAGTACTGCATACTCCACAGCTGCTGGAGGTTCCATGGTAAGAAATTCCTCTTCAGTTTTGAAGTCACCATAATACAAAATTTAGTACCTAGCAATGTGCAAATTCAAGGGCTTGGGTTTTCGTTTCCGTTACAGGTGATGTTTCTTAGTGAAGGATTTCTTTCCCGTATGCTTTGTAACTTGCAGCCATATATACATAATCTTTTTAAAAATACCAGTGCCTACTATACAGATAATGGAAACTCATATGGTAGCCGTCTATTATCATTGAGAAGTAGCCATCTTCTCTAAATCTTTTTCGTCTCTGGTTGTTGTCGGTTGGCTTTGTCAACAGGAGATTGTGCATCTAACATCAGATAATATGAATTGCAGGTGCATCCAAATGTTCCTTGCATGTTATTTACGCCAATCTGTCCACACTCCCTCTCGTTTAGACCAGTTATACTTCCAGATTCTGCAAAGCTTGAATTAAAGGTGAATTCTTTTCCTCATGTATCTAGTTAAATCTGGATTTTTTTTTTATGCGGTATAAATATTTCTCAGTTAAAAACCTTGATTTTGACCTTGCCCCCATTTATTTTTTTCTCCACACTTCACTTAGTTTTAAAAAAAGTTTGGCTGGTCTTGTGCACCATTTATTTATGCCATTCACTTTAGATATAATGTCCTTATCCTCAAGAACTGCCAAGCTTGGTTACGCGGTTTTATTTTGTCCTGCAGTCACATTCTTCCCTCCATGTGGCGATGAACATTGTAAACATGTTTTCAAGGGCCAACAACATCTAGAACTAATATTTAAGTCTGAATTTGGAATATGTACAGCTTTTCTACTATGCAAGTCAAGTATTGAAAGCATTTTTTTGCCACATTTAATTTCGTTAGCTATGAATCCTATTACATGTACAAATAAGATGCACAATGCATGCTCTACGTCACACACAGAGAGGAAAAGAGATGATTCTTACAATTTTAGCAACCAATTCTTATTTAAGAGAAAACGCATTTGTTTGGACAGATTCCAGAGGATGCTCGAAGCAATGCCTGGGTTTCTTTTGATGGAAAGAGAAGGCAGCAACTCTCAAGAGGAGACTCTGTCAGAATATCTATGAGCCAACACCCGCTTCCAACTGTCAACAAGCGTGACCAAACAGGTGATTGGTTTCGAAGCTTGATTCGTTGCCTAAATTGGAACGAAAGGCTAGATCAAAAGGCCCTTTGAAACATTTGAAACTGGAAAACTGGAAAGGAACCTGTTTCACTCTTCATTGTTGATCGAGTGTATAATATTGTACATATTGTAGATTATAGGAAATCAAACTGAGAGTAAATATACTCTTTCTCAATTGCTCCCACAAGAGGGTAGAATTTTACGTATACTAGTATACTGTCCTTTCTTGTCGAAAGATTTAACTGTAGATTGTCAGTATAGAGCAATAAAATTATACTTAAAACTCTTTTATGGATGTATCCGATTGATCCATCCTTTATTTTCGTAGTTCTCTTTGTTTACTGCTGTTTTCTGATACATTTGTTTTCGTGCGAGAATTATGGGAGGAAAGCCTTTCTGAGGTGATCAAAATTTGTAGCCTCCCTAGCATGATTTCATTGGTCTCTCTGGTGGTCTCTCTGGTGACTTGCTTCTTTTCTTTGTTTGGTGGATTTTGTCACAAGGCTGTGACCCAGCTAAGAACATATACGCAAAGAACCATCTAAACATAAGAAGAGAAAAGATGATAATTTCTAGGTGGTCTTTTTAAAGAAAAGTATTGTGGGTTGCTTTGCTTATATTGAAGCAACAATATGTTTTTTAGTACAAGCGATAATCTAAACTACTATAGGGAGGGGGATTACTCACACCCTTTCCATTGGGCAGACCACCGTTGGGGAACCAACAACATTAATATCAAACAAAATTATGTGTGGCAATAAAGTAATAAAGTGACCACCGACTACAAAAGGAAAGAAAGAGATGCCATAACCAGCAATATTTAAGATTTCAATCCATTATGTTACTATTTTACAGTGCACATCCCAAGTGGAGCACGCTTTTAGCAGCATTACATAACAAGAAAGATATAGAGAAATATGAAGCGCACACAGACTTACACCCACTTCAGCTTTCTCCTCCCATACAGAGTTCTAGTTAAGAGTGAGAGATGAGCGAGTATGTAGTAATTATAATTAAGCACCCCAAAAAAATAAAATTAAAAAAAGAAAAAAAAAGAAAGAGAGAAACTGAAGTATTCTTTTTTCTTTTTTCCATATGAGTCCTATAATTTCTCACACGGCCCTCACAGATTGGAACCTTGGTTCCTTGGGGAGGAACTTCTGCTCAGCATAAATAGAGAGGTAGTCACCAAACACAAACTTCGGATATGCTTGATCCACTTCTTGGTTTGCTTTCTCCACCAGTAGTGGTGCAGGAGCTATGGTGGCCTTGAGTGATGGGTTATAGAATGAAGCAATTGATCTTCTGTTTCCAGTTGGGGTGGCTAAAACCCGGTGCCAAACACTCTTGTAGAGGCCATTGCTCAGGACCTCAATCTGGTCCCCTGTGTTAATGACAATGGAGTTGTGCAATGGCTGCACATCTATCCATTGCCCATCTTTGAGGATTTGAAGGCCTCCCACCTGGTCATCTTGGAAGAGTAAGATGACACCCCCGGCATCGGTGTGAGCTCGGAGACCAGTCACCAACTCTGGCTGAGGGCATGGTGGGTAGTGGCTCACCTTGGTGCCAAAGAAGGCATTGTCTTCTTCTCCACCATTGAATGCTTTCTTGATGTATCCCCTTGGTAAGCCCAAGTTCTCATCCATGACTTCCATGATCCTCTCAGCTAGTTTCTTCAGTTCTGTCCTGTATTCTGTCATGGTTTCCCTGCCAATAAGAGAAGTAGTGATCAGATTCTAGATTAGGGAGCGGGGCATAAAATTGAACATTGCTATGGAAATGAGACTAGATAGTCTAACACGTGTTGTCAGGCTGTCAATATTGAACTTATCGTTCATATTGATAATTTAACAACATAATATATGTTAGGTATCTGGCAAGAGAACATTTTCTCTGGAGCATGCTGCTTACTAATTATATATAATTTTCATTGCTTACTTGAATCCGGGGGTTTTCGAGGGCCATTCATTATCATCCAGGAGGGTGAAGACATCCTCCCAGTCCACATTCTCCAACTTTTGGCCATTCAACGACTTCACAAGTGCAGACTTCTTGAATTCCTCCTCTCTTTCCAGTTTAAAGCACTCAGAGCTCACCTTCTTCACCCTCTCCAGAAGCTCATCTGAAATTCCATGGTTCACCAGCTGTGACAAACACAAAAAACACTCAATTAACACTCTTGGCATAGAGATAAAAAAACACATAAAAACAATGGAATGACAAGCAATGAGCTGAAATTACATTTTTGGCCACTAAATATAATATTGAAGCAAAAAAGATGAAATAATTAATTCAGTACCTGGAAGAAGCCCCATTCCTCACATCCATTAGCAAGCTGAGCCAATGTTTGGGCCCTTTCTTCACCACCAAGCTTTGAGAAATCAATAACTGGGATTGCCATGGATCTGATTAAAGCAAGAGATTAAGCTAGCACAAGTAGTTGAGAGAGAGAGAGGGAGAGAGAGAGAGAGTTGGTTTCTGTAGTGTGAGTATAATGCTTGCTTAATTAATTAGCTTAAGTTGCAATGGTGGTGAAGAAGAGAGGGTGATTAGGCCTATTTATAGCAAAGTTTCCCGCCATCTGTTGGATATGTCAACTTTTTTTTAATATTAATTTTATTATTTTCCCTTTGTTTCTTCCAATGTAGCCGTTAGGGTAAGGTATGGGACGGTGACGCTTTACATTTAAAATTAGATCCAAGGTCAATGCTTTGTGAGGTACCTACTGGTAACGCACAACATAAGCATACTCTTTCAGGTGATTCACCTCATTCCATTTCCCTTTTATTTGTTAATTCATCAATTACATGAAGCATATACATGTGACATGTCCATATCAATTAGCTGCCATTTGGATATCTTAACGTGCACTAACAATTTACCAATCTAATCTGATTGATTTACACTACATTTACTAACCACATAACTGTTTACATGCATGTCTTATTACGTGAAAAATATAGTACATATAACATTCCGACTATCGACCCATATGAAATTTCACTCGTTTTACGTGAGCCCTTATTTCTTTTTCTTTAATCATGGGTAAGCTAAGCTAGGTTGATCAAGTTGATTTTCACCGTGATAGGCATGGGATGTCTATGAGAGAAGAATTCTTCAAATCAAATTATTCTAGTTCATTCACCTGCCAGATAATAGATTCCAAATTATCTCAAGCCATGGTGGCATCATAGCATGTCCTTCATGTGCAAAATTATTCCCCCTCTTTCTTCCCCCATATATTATTACTAATCCCATAATTATTTTAAGCTTATTTTACTTGTAGCATAAATCTCTGCCGACTAGGGTTCATCATGTTGACAGTAACCCGCAATGCCTTGTGGTCCTTTGGCTTTCACACATGAACATGCTTTTTTATGAAGAGTGGTTGGTTCCATGGTTAAACTAATACACTGATTTGCAGGCATAGTTTGAGGGTTAAGGAAGGCAAGGACGATGACCATTATAAACAAAGCAATCATCACCAATTAATTAATTAATTAAATTAAAACTTTGTCAACTCCATTATTATAATTTATATATGTGTGTATGTGGGATTGATTAATTAATTTATTTATAAATTATCATAATGCTTCTTACCTGAAAGGAAAAGGAAAAAAAATATATTTAAGCTTAACATGCACACTTTTTTTAGTAGGGTTAGTGATCTGGAATTCAAACCCTATGTGCTGTAAGTTACACTGGACATATGATCCACCGTCTGATTTGATTCCACTTGTCCGAATTTGAGGGTACATAAGAGGACAGAGATGATCATGGCCGTCTGATCAAGAACTCAATCTTGTAAAACGAATAAAGTCATTGCTGTACCTTGTAGTACTTCAAAACCAGCGTCAATTTTGCATGGATCGGACGGTTGATTATTGCATTATGGTTCCAGAGATGTAGTGTGAGCCACGTTGCATGGTTTGGCTCAGATGTTATTTTTTTTAAAAAAAAAATTATGAAAATGTGCTGGAACCGAAGGTTGAATCACGCAGGTCGGGATTTAATTAGGATAATGTTATGGCATTTGATTGGTTGACAAGCTTGATTAATTAATTATCTTAGGGACCGTTTGATAACAATTTCAATTTTAGTTTTTAGTTTTTATTTTTTATGGTAGAGTATAGAGGAAAATGAGGAGTGAGGATGAGATTGAGAGAGAAGATGAAAGGGAAGAGTAATAAAAGTGAGAGTGAGGATGAGATTGAGAGAGAGGATGAGAGGAAAGAGTAATAAAAGTGAAAACAAAAACTTGAAAGTAAAAAAAATTTCAAATAGATTTCAGTTTTTAGTTTTTGTTTTCACTTCTGTTACTCCTTCCTCCCTCCTTCCCTCTCAATCCCATTTTCACTCTCATTCTCATTTCCGTTCTCTCTTTTTCCTCTATACTAGATTTCAGTTTTTAGTTTTTGTTTTCACTTTTGTTACTCCCTCCTCCCTCCTCCCCCCTCAATTCCATCTTCACTCTCATTCTCATTTCCATTCTCTCTCCTTTTTCTCTATACTCTAGCACAAAAATTAAAAACTAAAAACTAAAATTGAAATGATTATCAAACGAGCCCTTAATTATTCATTTCGAAACATGTTTGTGTATAATGCACATATATCATATTATTGAGGCATTACCAACTTAAGTAGGGTTTCTCTATCCAAAAATTAAAAAATACTTAAGTAGGCTTGGAGAGGCTTGAGTATAGGGCTTCCATCCTCTAGCTAGCTAGCTAGCTTAGCTTAATTATAATTATTAGGTCATAAAAGGATTTGGATAATGTTAATTATGCAAAGTAATTATAGCATGGCACTAGAGTACGATTACTTGGTATAACTTATTCACATGTTATAATATAAGTGGACATTATATTGATCATCTATCCTAAAAGTGTATATATATATATTATTTCGTCAACTCATATTATAACACGTGAACGAATTATACCACGTAGCTGTATTCCATACCATATAATATTAATGTCTCCTCATGGGGCATGCTAGCATGTGATGACGTTGTGTGACCCCATATCATGTGCTATGTGGGCTGGAAAATCAAAGTTAGTAGCATATTTCTTCTCCAGTACCGAATTTTGATTAGGATTGAGAAATAATTAATATGGAGCCATTGCCAATTAGAGAGTGGTTTCTCCCTCCCTAATGGGGAAAAACCCTAAAAAATTGTAGAATATAGATGTGACAGCAAGGCCGTCTACATACGTATGGACACGAACTATATGGTCTACCTACCTACCCAACATAAAAAAAATATTATCAAATTTTTGGTCATCATGTAATGTTACATATGATATGATAGTATTTTTGTTGTTTGAAATAAATGACTTTTAACATAAAATCAGTATAAAAACAAATAAAATAAGTGTCACATAAATATTGGTATTCCAAACTTTAGGGTTTATACCATGATGCTCTTTCCCATAGGATGTAATCTCCCTACCCTATGTAGCCCTAATCAACTTTTGTAGACCTTTTTTTTTCCTCTTCTCTAACAAACTACTAGATACATTTGAATATAGAAAAGTTTTTTGTCATGCAAAGTCAAATATGCAGTAAAAGTAAATTTCTTTTACTTTATTGAGAGCATCTCACAATTTTAATCTAAGGTGTACTCTTATCATTATTCTCAATATTTGACACGTGTCCATGAGCATAATCATGGTTTCATAAATACAAAGCAAAGAGTTAACTATGATTATGCCAATAACACGTGTCAAATATTGAGATAGTACACCTTGAATTAAAGGGACGAGCAAAAATATTTCCTTACTTCATTTTCTTAATAATTCTGCTTTCTTAGTTTTACTTGCAATTTTTCTTTTCTGTAACCTGAAATGCACCCAAATATCAGATCAATTCATAAGCTCAACCAGGTAAAAATATAAGACATTTTCTATAGCCTATTTAAACTAACTCACGCCTTAGCAAAATAGAACTTGAATTATATATATATATATATTTCAATCTTCTAAGGATGAAGAGTGAAGAGACGCGAATTCATTTCAATCTTCTACCTCTCCTAATTTTGCGAACTTTGTTGAACAGAACATGGGCACGAAGGTCAAAGGTCAACCGTACTTGAAAATTTTAATTAAGAGCTTTAGTGTAAATTGAAAGGTTGTAGGATTAAAAAAAAAAAAAAAGAACAAGAAAATATCCCTAAGCTCCCTCACTAATTAAGCATGATTAGAGTTGGCAAATCTGACCGACAAATAAAACCGAAAAGATGAACATTAGTTTAGTTTGATTGTAATGTGCTCAAGAATGAATAAAGATCTAAATTTAGGAAATTATCATGTTAATTAATTAGGAGTTGAAATTTACTTAATTTGTTTCACGACTTAAGGCTGATAGATTGGATTTGAGTTTGTGCACTTTAACTTAATTGAAGGCTTAAACTTCTCAAAAGATTAGCTTAAGTTGGATTTCCCTGCTAATTATAGCCTAGCCGCTCAGGTTGGCCTAACCAAGGTCTTAAATATCGGAGGTATCGGAAATATCGGAAGTCAAAAAACACGGAAATATCGCAGGAAATATCGGGATATTATCGGTATCGGAAAAAATTGAATAAAAACCACGGAAATTGTAAGAAAAACTTGGAAATTTTTATTGAAACTTTGCAGGATGTTTATTTAGTCAATTATCTATTAGTTTATCACAAAAAATTGGAAGGAAATGCATTGCATGATGGATTTAACTGATTTAAGTTGATTATATAGCGAGCTGGCAAACACCGTAAGTGTAGAAAATATGTAGTAATTAATGAAAGAAGATTAAACACACCATAATCATTTATATATAATGAATTACTACAATATTTTACACTTTATACATTGCATGGTAAGATACATGAGTGACTTAGTACCACATAGAGTTCCTATGAGGTTCAAAATTTTCACTATCTTCATCATCTCTATGTGTAGAGTAAGTATATTTTGAAGAATAGTCATCAAATGATAAATCCCCAAAATAGTTTTGCATGTAATTGTTAACATGCCACCCATATGGATCCGAGATTGGTTGACGTTGTCCATAAGCAAAATCATTTGAAGATTGAGTCTCGGATTCTTTCCATGAGTCGCTTGATTCCATCCCAACAGGAATGGGATATGAAGGGTAGAGAAATGGTTGGTTATGAGTATAACCATAGTTACTACTCATCTCATATGAAAATTTATTTCTTGCAAAAAGAATTCAAAACAAAACCATGTATATATATAAATATTTTAGTATTTTCACAAAAACATAAGTGATATGGTGGTTAAGGTGTTGAAGGAGTAAAATGGGAGAAAAATTGTAGAATATAGATGTGACAGCAAGGCCGTCTACATACGTATGGACACGAACTATATGGTCTACCTACCTACCCAACATAAAAAAAATATTATCAAATTTTTGGTCATCATGTAATGTTACATATGATATGAGTATTTTTGTTGTTTGAAATAAATGACTTTTAACATAAAATCAGTATAAAAACAAATAAAATAAGTGTCACATAA